CTGTCTGCCTGCATTGAAACAAGGCTTTCTTATCTGTCTGTATTATTTGTTTTGAGCTAATTTAATTTACTACCTCATGCTGTATTTAGTTACATGGTGTATTCAGAACTAAATAGGACCATATAAATTATATGAATAGGACCATGAGGTTTTATATGGGTTTTGGCTTATTCAGACTCATGCTTTAAGCTCTGGTTTACTTGACCCTTGTTTAAATGCTTACATCATCCAGGGGGGAATTTGATATGCATAAAATTGGTTTCTAATTTGGTCTTATGAGGATACAAAACTTTGCTGACACATCAGCGCCAAAGCTCTTTCTCTTATGTCTGAAATGCTGACATGTGTTTATGCCATTAACTGAAAGGCTTACTTACCAATGGTACATGGTTGAATACACAGTAAAACAGCAGTACACACAAAGAAAGAGCAGTTAAATGATACACCAGCAATGACCAACGCGCAGAGCTCATTACACTTATAGCTGTTGAAATGGCTCATTTGCTGGAAACAGGGCCAATCAGTCTTTAGTGTTGAAATCAATGTATCGTTTTTGTTATTTTTTTGGCTACTAAATGCTGAAATGTATAAATCACAGTGATTTATTTTTAGATATCAAATAACATAACTTGGTTATATCTGTTATCTTAGATCTAATAAGTCTGAGAAGTACAAATGTGAATTTTTTCTACAATGTTTCATTCCATTTTATCATGGAATCCCGACACCATCTTTGTTGGTTTTAGTCCAGGTTATTCTCAGAATGCCCCGTTCCGAACTGTAGGAGCATTTTGGTATTCCTCCATCGGTCCTCATGCAGTCCAAAACACACTCCTAAATTCATATCTCCAAGCAAAACGTCTCTGTTTTGTATTATCAGCATTTATAAGATTTATACTTTATCCCCTGCTATGATACTGTCATGCGCTGGCTCGTCTTTGTCTTCTCTGATGGCTCATATTTTACAATGGTTCGTTGGTGCACTTCCTTGCAGATATTGCTGTCTTGTAACCTCAAGGGTGACATCTTGTATGATTCTTTGACTTCAAACATGCACTATAAAGCTGCAGGTCTTTATTCGGTTGTTAACCATCCACTCAGTTTCCAAGTAAAGCATCTTCAAATCAAATACATGTACAATTTATGTTACTTGTGGGCCTCTAAAAATCCAAAACCTAGAGGTGTTTGTATCAAATTTGTTAATTTATGTGCACACACAGGCTAGATGACGTGCTAGTTGGAGCTCCACTCTACATGGACCGTGAGTTTGAGAGTAAACCGCGTGAGGTTGGCCGTGTGTACTTGTACTTGCAAGAGGACGTTCTTCTCTTCTCCCCATCCATCACACTCACTGGAACGCACCTGTTCGGCCGGTATGGAAGTGCCATCGCCCCTCTCGGAGATATCAACCAGGATGGCTACCTTGGTAAGTGTTCGTGTTAATGTGCTTTTAGGGTGTTGTGTTGCTTGATTCAAGAGTTTTTCAGTGAGACAGAGGTTACATATACACCCATTTC